TAATGTTGGTTGAGGATTTCACAATCTTTTTTTTTTTTTGCGCTGACGCAACCGATGTAATGATCCAATGTGTGGTTTTGTCCACTGGAGATGTCCAGGCAGATTATTCTTTTTTCTTATATAACTGTTGGTGGAGATGTGATAGTTGAGGTTGGTGACATTTTTCTTGTGAAAGAATTCCTTGAGGCAGAGTTGGTGGAATTAGTTTAGAAAGTTCTTATAAATCATCTATCGGAACCCAATTTGAGAAGAGATTATCACAATGAGTAGGTAAACCACTTATCATTTGGGCCAAATAAAATACTCTGTTATAACTCAGAATATTTACATAAATTTAAAGCTAGGTGAGAAAAAAAGATATGTCTGGAATAACCAAAAGAGTATTACAATTATTTACAAGGGACTGAAGAAAATCAACCATGCAAGTTGCTTCCAAATGAATATGCCATTGTGCCTCCTACGCCACTGCACTTATTAGAAGAACAGAGAAGACTCTGACCATTGCCCCAAAACTGTACTCCTGGCTTTGTGGTATAAAAACATGCCTCTATCTCTAGCCTGGGCTAGAATAGGTAGCAAAAAATGGTTACTACCCTTTTGAAACGATTGTGCTTCAAGATGTGTTGCTCATGTCCATTCCATACCAGGTGTGTGTATGCTGAATGCACTGCTGCCAGAGATTTTTCCCTTAGTAGTATCCATTGGGCTGGCTCTAGCACCCTCTGGAGCTGCATGTGTATGCACCGGTATAAGGGGCACTGTCGAACCCACATCTTCTCCGTTCCTTTTTGCCAGAAACTCTGACAGAGGGGTAAGAGAGTGGGTCATGGAATGAATGTGAGCAAGATATCTCAAAGAATAGTAACAAAAGGTTAGTAACCATTTTTTCCTTCAAGTGCTTGCTCATGTCCAGTCCATCCTAGGTGATCCACAATCAATACCCCAGGAGCTGGGCTTGCACTTCATGGATGTGCTGACTGCAACACTGCTCTCCCAAAACTGGCATCGTCTTGGGCCTGTTGGGTAATGGTGTAGTGGGATACGAAGGTATGAACAGACGACCAGGCTGTGGCTCTGCAGATGTCCTGGATGGGTATCTGCACAAGAAACACTGATGATGATGCCTGGGCTCTTGTGGAATGAGTGGTCACGATGGCCAGAGGCGGGATGCTTGCCTGCTCGTAGCAAGCCCAAATATAGGCGGTTATCCAGGATGAGATTCTTTGGGTTGACACAGGTATCTCTCTCATCCTTTCTGCTATAGCTACAAAAGAGTTGTGTGGATTTGTGGAAGGGCTTAGTCTTCTCAATATAAAAAGGTGAGGGCTTGCCTAACATCCAACATATGAAGCAGTTGTTCCTCAGAGCTTTTTTGAGGTTTTGAGAAGAAGACAGGCTGAAAGATGACTTGGTTGTTATGGAATTGTGACACCACCTTTGGCAGGAAGGGCTCAGTTGGCCCTTGTCCTTGAAGAACACCGGATAAGCTGGTTCTGACGTAAGGCCCTGATCTCAGAGACCCTTCTGGCCGAGGTAATCGCTACCAGGAAGGCAACCTTCCAGGAGAGAAGTAGTAGTGAGCACAATGCTAACTGCTCAAGTAAGCCTTGACAGGACCAGGTTTAAGTCCCATGGAGAGGGGTGGTTTGCAAACTTGAGGACAGAGTCTTTCCAATCCCCTGGAGAAACCAGACTATCATTTTGTGAGAGAACATCGATATGCCATTTACTGCAGGGTGGAAGGCTGAGATGGCTGCCAAATGGACCTTAATAGTGTGCTAGACCTTGCTGCTTTAGGTGGAGCAAATAATCCAAGATCAACTGAAGAGAAGATCGAGATGGAGAGAGATCCCGTTTGGAGGCCCAACAAGTGAAACGTTTACACTTGGCCAAGTAGGTAGCCCTGGTGGAAGGCTACTACTAACTAGCAAGACATGTTGAACTTGTTCCAAGCAGGCCTATTCTTCAGGGTTCAGCCACGAAGCATCCGTGCAGTCAAGTGCAGGGACGCAAGGTTCAGGTGAAGTAAGCGGTCATGGTCTTGTGAAATCAAGTCTAGGTGGAGTAGGAGTGAGAGTGGCACTGCCACCAAGAGGTCCAGAAGCATGCCAAATCAATGCCAGCATGGCTACTCTGGGGCTATTAGGAAGATTCTTGGCTTGTCCCATTTGATTTTCAGAAGAACCCTGTGAACCAAGGGGATTGGGAGAAAGGCATATAGTAGACAATCTGCCCACAAGAGCAGGAAGGTGTCAGAGAGGGAGACTGCACAGAAAACAGAACTGGTGGCAAACAGGTCCACCTGGGAAGACCCCGACTTTTGGAAGATGACAGTGATGAACTCTGGGTGAAGACACCACTTGTGGTGAGAGGAGAAGGACCAGCTGAAATGATCACTAATACGTTCCAAGCTCTTGGGAGATGAGACACCTCAAGATGAATGGAGTGTTTCACACACAAGTCTCATAGACCAATGGCCTCCTGACACAGGGTAAAGGATTGAGCCAATAGGCTGATGGGAAGGGAATTGGTAGTGGCAATGACACACTACAAACCTAAGAAATTTTGTGGCCACAGGAGATAGAAATGTGAAAGCATGTTTTCTTTAAGTCAAGGGCAGTATACCAGTTTTCTGGGTCCAGGGAGGGAACGATAGAAGCCAGAGAGCCCATGCAGAACCTCAGTTTCTTGAGATATCCATTGAGGTGATACAGATCCAAGATGGGGGGTGGAAAGTGGCAGGGAGTGGTGGATAAAAACTGAAGGGTATATCCGACTGTCACTGTACTCAGGAACCATCATTCCGATGTTATGGATGCCCAAGCAGGGTCAAAGAGAGACAGACTCTCCAAAAATGAAAGCGGGGGGGCAGATCTGAAGCGGCAACTGGTACAGCACCCTCACACGCACCTTCAAAAGGCCTGCTACAAAAGTATCTCTGAGGCCCTGACTGGGAGCCTGAGGTAGGCAGGAGTGGTTGAAGCCATTTATAACCTCTGCCTTTTCTTTTGTAGGGCTCCTGTTTTGGAGATCCAGAGAACCCAGGAGGCTGCTGCGAGCTGAAGTTTTTCTGGAGGCAGAGCGTACAAGCCTAAGGATCAAAGGGTGGCCCTTGAGTCCTTCAGTACATGAAGTCTCGTCTGCTCCGAGAAAAGGGAGGAGCCTTCAAATGGGAGGTCCTGAATTGTGGGGATGGCTGGAGGACTGGAACCAGGAAGAGCGCCTCATGGTGACCACAGAGGCCATTATCTTAGCCACCAAATCAGCAGCATCCAGAACCGCCTAAGGAGAGGTCCCGGCCTGTTCTTACCTGCAAACTCCTGTTTTGACTCTTGAGGCAGAAAGTCTTTGAACTTATTGAGGGAGGCCCATAGATTAAAATGGTATCTCCCCAGTAAAGCTTACTGATTGGCATATGCAGTTGTAGGCTACACATGGAATAAACCTTTCTTCTGAAAAGATCCAGTTTCTTAGTGTCTTTTTGTTTCAGGGTAGCACTCGACTGGCCCTGCCTGGCCCCTTTGTTAGCTGCAGACACCCTCAGGGACCCCGGGGGAGGGTGCAAGTACAGGTAATTAGATCCACTTGCTGGAACATAATACTTTTTCTCTGCCTCTTTGAAGTGAAAACCAGAGAAGGAAGAGTTTTCCATAGGGCCTTGACTGGTCCCATCACCGCCTCATTGATGGGCAGGGCCACTCTGGATGGAGCTGCTGCAATCGGGACATCAATGAAGCTGTGCGATGTCACTGAGCTCTTCTATCTCCAAACCCAGGTTTCAAGTGATCCACTTCAGAAGGTCCTGAAGGGCCCTGAAGCCATCCTGGGGAAGTAGGCTACTGGGACCTGCAACAGCCTCATCTGGGGAGGAGGAGGAGGCTGCTTGCACCACAGGAGGGGCTCCTTCCTCTTCCTCAGCTATGTCCACTGACGGCATCTCCTGGATTTCAGTACCGGGGCCAGTACTGGAGTCTAGATCTGGTGCCGAGCAGGAAAGATCAGTAACCCATCTCTCTGAGGCCACCGAGTAGGAGCGGTGGGAAGCAGGCCCCAGTTCTGGGGGAACCCCCAGGGGTTCCAGTAGGGCCACTGCATCAGCCAGTGACGCACTGGCCAGATGCCCACAGGGGGACCAGCAGTGAAGTTTGGTGGGGAGTAGGCTGGGTACAGGTAGTGGGCTTTTGGCAGTACATAGGGTTCCCCTTTGGACCCCAAAGAGGATTCCTCTCTCGGGGACCATGGTGCAGCTCTACCTGCATACGCTTCCATATGGTGTTGGGGTTCTACGGACTAGTGGCATGCCGGCGAGTGGGATGCCGGGATCAGGTAGGCCTGCCCCTGGATGGTGCCAGGGGACCTGGTGCTAGGAAGGTGCCTGACACAACTTGTTCCCTCCTGCTTCCGGATGCCGGAATTGAGAGGGTACAAGGCCAGCACTGCCCTTTATACGATCCGTGACGGGTTCTCCAGGTTGCAACCTGGAACTGGGGTACCATTGAGCCTTCTGGCATACCAACCTGGGCTCCCTCTTACACTTTGATGCTGTGACAAGCTGCAAACCTCTCCAGGTATTGCACTTACACAGACATCCACAGGCAGGGACACACCCAACTGAGTTACATGAACAATCTCTCTGCCACTCATGAACCAACAATAGAGAGGCTCCAATTCCCCACAGCTCCCCAGCCTAGGACCCCAGAGCTGTACTGTCTTGCCCTGGTCAGAAGCCTAACCAATGTATGTTTATCACCCAGTCCTCACCTCCCTCATTGCAAAGAAGACATGCATCAGTTCTTGTTCCTGAGCAGATTTCCCAGCCCTTCAAGCAAAACACACTTTTAGGGAAAATATAAAACAGATTTATTAACCACAGAAAGATAGATTTTAAGTAATTATAAGTAATAAGCATACAGCTCAAAGTTGGTTACCTAAGAAATAAAAGTAAAATTGAAATCTGAATTCAATAAACTAGACAGGATCTGAATCAAGTAGTGTCTCACCCTCATGGTATCGTTCCTTAATACACAGTCTGGAATTTTCCTCTTCAGCCTGGGACCACCTCTCCCGTTCAAAGTCTTTGTTCTCCAGATGTGTTTCCAGGTGTTGTGAGGGGAGAGAGGACAAATGATTATGTATTTCCCATCCTTTATAGGTTCTTCCAGCTTGCTGGAAAGAACTTTTGCTATGATATGAGTCAAGCAGTCTCCATTGTCTATGGGCTCTCTCTGAGAGGTCTCCATTGTATACAGTTCCTGAGGTAGTCTTTGAGAGTGTGTATTCTGCTTAATGGGCCATCATCTCTGTCTGCCCCATTGTTGTACCTCAAAGGCTGGTTTTGGGTGTTTCCAATTTACAACATATTTCAGTAACATACACATAGCAAAACTTCGTAACTTCCCATACAATGATAGCACATACAATCCAACAGGATATTAACGTTCTACAGATCAAGACTTAAAATGATATTTCACAAGGCATGCTTTGTACAAAACATATCATAATCATATCACCATGGCAAATATGGGGTGCCAGGGTGTTGCTTTGGGGTACAGAGTGTTACACCAGTGCATACACATGCAGATCCAGAGGGCGCTAGAGCTGACCCAACGGATACCACTAAGGGAAAAATCACCAGCAACAGTGCAAGCAGCGTGCACACACCTAGCATGGAACGAACATGAGCAAGCACTCGAAGAACTATTTTGGTTCATACAGTGCCACTGATGCAAACAGCATTTTAACAAAATATAAACAGACAAGTCTTTTTGCCCAAGAGCTTGTATTCTCAGTAAGGCAGCAAGTAGTAAGTGAAGATGGACAAGTGGTGTGGGAGCGGGAAGAAGAACTGCTAGAGGACTGCACATTTAGTTGCTGCTGTAGGCCGAGCTCACTGAACATTCCAGGGACTCCTTGCGTTCCTCCATTCTCATCCACAAATGCCCTGTGTCCCATCATCCCATCCCCCTCTACTTCAAGGACTCCCTGCATCATCCCCATCTCCTCCCTCATGTCAGGGCCTCTGTATGCACCCTATTTCCTCCTTTCCTCCACTCCCGAAGTCTTCCATTTCTCTCTTCCCCCCTCCCATTTAGACAAACAGCTTGACAGCATTTCTCTGTTTGTAAGGACTCTCAAGATCAGCCAAACAAAGATCATACGATTTTTAATATAAGTTGCATATGCATCATCTTAATGCTAAAAACTAGTTGTGCATATTTATGTTTCTCTTTCTAACTAAAGAAGACAGTTTGGAAAAAAGTTTTCAAGGATGGATTTTAATCATGAGTTATATCAGCAAGCAGGAAACCTTGATTTAAGCCATTGATTTTGATCATTTTTTGAATTTGTACTTTTTAGTTCTTTTCCTAGGGATGGTAGATTCTCATTTGTTGGTAACCATTAAAACAAGTTGATTTACAACTAGATATCCCTATAAGCTAAATTTGGTGCTTCTTTTTGCTAACCAGGAGTATAGATGATATCTATAAGACTTTGTTTAAGCAATTGTTGCTTTATTTACATTTATTCTGATTCATTTTATATTTATTATTTTAGAAAATGGTGTATGAAGCATGTATGAAGCATATACTAGATGATAGTTAATTTTTTACTTGTAATTTGCATCAAGCTCTATTTGGATGGAAATACAAATTCAGCTAAAATGCACAAAACCAGCATTTTTGTATTAAATAAAACTACCTTAAATGTAGTAGTAACCTAAGGAAAAAAGTATCAAAAGTTTATCAAAACATGTTTTGCATTTAAAACTAATTGATTTATTAAACAAATGAAGTATTATCTGTAGTTAGGTAATTGAACTGATTATTTCTAGTCACTGTGTCTTTCAAGATTTTAAAACTAGTAGATCTCATCCTCCCCCACTTAGTTTTTAATCAGATTGGTAGAAGAAAACAAGCTTTTCTTCTTTTTCAACTCCCAATTGTTTTTTTAACTTTGAATGAACGAGTGATTGAACTAAACTAGTTGAATAAACTGAAATGAAAAAAATATTGTTGCTGCATTTGCAGAAGAGGCTACTTCTGTGAAAAGCTGATTTAGTACTTCAGCAGACTCTGGTTCTAGGTGCTTAGGCACCTAGACATTTTTAAAACCTAGTACAAAATATTTTGTGTTTAATCTAAATGATTTTAATAGATTATAAATTTAGGTCTTAATGGCTGTTAATTTCAAATTCAATTTTAAATAGATTTTTAAAAATAAACCTGTATTTAAATTTTAAAAAATCATCAATTTTCATCTACCCTGCTTCACATGCACAAAGTGTTTAAATACTATTAGTAATCATGGTAGCTCAGAAACAAAGGAAACAAATACTACTAGAAAAATAAATTTTAATCATACCAGCCACAACATCATATACAAAGAAACTCAAAAATATGGGTTAACTGTTAAATTTGAAGATGGACAAATATTCCTAATACATTCTACATAACACACAGTCATGTCATTTAAAAAAAAAAACAATTTAATGACAGCAACATGGTAGAATAAAAATAATAAATTTGAACATTCAAAAATGGAAAACAATCACTGAGAAAAGAAGTTAGTCATGTCCAGCTAGGCTCTGCAAGTGTGCAATTGCATTTGTTAAATTTAGTATGATGGCTTTTGTAGGATGGTGAAACACTGACAAGTAGTGGCCAGTTGCCTTCATTGCATTTTCTTCAATATTTACCAGAATCAACATTTAAATCTTAAAATGATGTCTCAATTACAAAAGCTGAAAGGCATATTTGAACTGGTTTGATTTAATGAATGTAACTAATATCAATACCTAAATTATACAGTTGCAACTAGTTTAGTAACATACCTTTAAAAACCATTCAGACCCAATATTGAATGGAGACATTTTGGGACAATTAATATTTCCCATTTCAAGGCTCTATTTTTAATAGCAATATTTTGAAAAGTGTCTTGGAAAACAAAAAGGACTTTTTCTTTTATTCATCTGAGAGACAAACTTTTTAAAAACTTCCTATATGTTTTTCATGCTGTTTTACAAAAGATGATGGGAAAAATTCTGATCCTACTGAAGTCAATGGAAGTTTTACCATGGACTTCAACAGAGCCAGGATTTCAACCAAAGAGTCATATTGATATTCTATAACTCAACCTTTCGAGCAGGTTAATCAGTTAAATAAGAACATTTAAAACTCCTTAGTGAAATTACTAAGTCTATTGTGCCTGAAAGCGTGTATTGAATTCTCATATCTAAATGCACAAATCACAGCTACGAGATCTGGGACTTGCTATATTCTGTGCTGGACCCAATGTCAAGCTCTGCGATACAACCGCATTTGCTCCAACCCCTCAGACAGAGACAAACACCTATAAGAGCTCTATCAAGCATTCTTACAACTACAATACCCACCTGCGGAAGTGAAGAAACAGATTGATAGAGCCAGAAGAGTTCCCAGAAGTCTCCTACTACAGGACAGGCCTAACAAAGAAAATAACAGAACGCCACTAGCCATCACCTTCAGCCCCCAACTAAAACCCCTCCAATGAATTATTAAGGATCTACAACATATCCTGAAGGATGACCCAACACACTCACAAATCTTGGGAGACAGGCCAGTCCTTCCCTACAGACAGCCCCCCAACCTGAAGCAAATACTCACCAGCAACCACATACCACACAACAGAACCACTAACCCAGGAACTTATCCTTGCAACAAAGCCCGTTGCCAACTGTGCCCACATATCTATTCAGGGGACACCATCACAGGGCCTAATCACATCAGCCACACTATCAGAGGCTTGTTCACCTGCACATCCACCAATGTGATATATGCCATCATGTGCCAGCAATGCCCCTCTGCCATGTACATTGGTCAAACTGGACAGTCTCTACGTAAAAGAATAAATGGACACAAATCAGATGTCAAGAATTATAACATTCATAAACCAGTCGGAGAACACTTCAATCTCTCTGGTCACGCAATTACAGACATGAAAGTTGCTAAATTACAACCAAAAAAAACTTCAAATCCAGACTCCAGCGAGAAACTGTTGAATTGGAATTCATTTGCAAATTGGATACAATTAATTTAGGCTTGAATAGAAACTGGGAGTGGCTAAGTCATTATGCAAGGTAACCTATTTCCCCTTGTTTTTTCCTACCCCTCCCCTCCCCCCCCCGACATTCTTGTTAAACCCTGGATTTGTGCTGGAAATGGCCCACCTTGATTATCACACACATTGTAAGGAGAGTGATCACTTTAGATAAGCTATTGCCAGCAGGAGAGTGGGGTGGGAGGAGGTATTTTTTCATGCTTTGTGTGTATATAAAAAGATCTTCTACACTTTCCACAGTATGCATCTGATGAAGTGAGCTGTAGCTCACGAAAGCTTATGCTCAAATAAATTGGTTAGTCTCTAAGATGCCACAAGTACTCCTTTTCTTTTTGCGAATACAGACTAACACGGCTGTTACTCTGACACCAAACTAAGGATATAGCAAAAGAGTGATATAGTTCTGTTACCCTCCTGCAGGACTGGAAACCAATACTTTATAAGCATATTATGAAGTATTAATATATAATAATAGCAGATTCTGCTAAAATTGACATTTTGGAGAGGCTACTGTAAAATGTTTATTGGCAACTCAATAAAAATACTTTGGGAACTAATAAGTCTTCTCATGAGCTAGCCCTGAACTGGCAGTGACCAGGTGGAAAAGTGCTGATCCCTGACATCTTAAAAAACTAAAACATTCCCACTATTACCTGCCTGACCCTTTGAAACCAATATACACAACAGCAAAAGGAAATTTCTCCCTGTAGAGACTGATCTCACCAGGCAGGAGCTTCACCCCAGCTCCAAAGCATGCGCCTCCATACCCAGTCTCAGTCAAGGAGGTTTATTTTCTTAACAATAGTTAACAAACAAACAGAAAACAATCTTAACTCAATCCTTGGCCTCAGGGCCACCCCTCCCAGCCGTTTCTAGCACTCCAGATCCTGTGAGGTTCCCAGATGCAATCAGCTCCGCTCCTTGTGTGGAGTAGCAGCCACAGGACTGCTTCCCTGGCCCCTTGCTCCAAGGACACATTAGAGGAGCTAGCTCCACTCCCGTGTGGCTTTGCCTTCCTAGGGCTCAACCTGTCTCGGTCCTTCCTCTTCCAGCTGTCTACTAGCAGCCCTTTATAGGCCCAGGTATAGCCCAGCCATCTTTAATTAGCTAGATTGGGCTCACCTGCTTTGGTCCAGGGTCACTGGGCTTCATCTATCTACAGGGACCAGCTACCTTGTGACAGATGGTTAAGGTTTTATATGCAATTAGGGGGGATGGCTCTTCCAGTACTGGTAACAAGATAAAGAGCCTCTCACTTCAAGTCAGCCCTGGTCAGCAGTAGCAAAAAGTCAGCACCATCTGCTGGATATTCTGTGGTCTAGTTTAGGAAATAAATTGGGGATCTCAGTACAATTTCCAGCTGACAGATGTTCATCACAAAACCTACCACTAATACTGTCCTTAATCAGCCGTCTTGTTGTCAGTCTCAACAAAAAAGCCAAAGAATGAGTGAGGCAATTTCTCCAGGAGGCAGTGTATGGAAGCTTGAAATATTGCTGCCTATTCTGTCCACTGTTTTCCCTTGAGTAATCTGAGAAAGAAGAATTCTCAGTTTCCACCTTAGGGGCAATCTTCAGTGAGCTCCATACAGGGAGACCCCTTGGCCTGTCCAGAATCCTACACACTTCCGTGGGGACTACACCCATACAAAGATCATTTCAGGATTGGGGCCTTTGACAATGAGCCACTACCAATGATCCATCTAACCACTATTTCAAAGCATGAAGTAGGATTAAAGTACTAAAATGCTCTTTTTCAAAATTATTCTCGAATGCATTTTGTCCAAACTGCTGTTTAACTCAGCAAAGTGTTTAGAGATTATATTGTTCTACCTTCACCAGAAGATGCAATAGCATAAAATTTAACATCAGCCATTAAAAGTGCAAAATATTGTTCCAAAGTGCTGCAACAAAGATTATGGAAGCATACATCTTTCTTGGGAAACATACACACAGAACATATTCATCATTAGCAAAACATCAGTCTTCAATTTGAAAATTAATTCCCAACTGTCAAAAATGTCCTTAAGGTAAATCATTACTCCTTATAAAGGGCAAAAAAGGAAATGTATTTATGTCAGCAGGTAACAGTACCAAATCATACATCAAACAGTTCTCATTAAACGTATGTCCACAAAATGGACACTAACAAAGTCTGAACACTGATGTATAAATATTTGAAGAATTTTTCTCTCAGAAAATCCTAAGAAATACTTTCCTCTTCTGAGAGCATATCCTAAGAAATACTTTCCTCTTCTGGCCCTACTGGGTCAGACCAAGGGTCCATCGAGCCCAGTATCCTATCTTCCGACAGTGGCCAGTACCAAGTGCCCCAGAGGGAATGAACAGAACAGGTAATCATTAAGTGATCCATTCCCTGTCGCTCATTCCCAGCTTCTGGCAAATAGAGGCTAGGGACAGCATTCCTGCCCATCCTAATGAAGCACTCTCACCCACCTCTCATTATCTACAAGGCAGGAAGAGGAGGTAGAAATGTAAAGCTGTTACTGACTTCCAATCGGCAAAGTACTACAAACGTTTTGATAAGCATAATTTTTTTCCCTATTAAAAGAGTATGTTA